TTCAGCAAACTTCAAGTAGTTGGTTTTTGGCATAGTTATCTTCAAAATACAAATTGTTATCCATTAAAAAACTTTGTATTTCATCTTTCCTCGAATTTTTATTAGAACTTTGATGACCTGTCGCGAATGATAGGAAGTGTTGTCAAGAACTATTACACTATTCGCATCCAAATTTGGGATCAATTTGTTTTCAAACCATTCCTTAAAAATATTAGCTTCCATGTTCTTATGATAGTCAACATTGCAGACCTTAAGTTTTTTTCCACATAATTTCAAAGAATTCGGAACCCATCCTTCACTTCCTCCGCAATGCACAATGATTAGTCGCGATTCTTTGTTTGCTGGCATGTTAGGCGTACACATTCTCGAACCATCAGTCCACAATTTCGTAAGTGTGTCGTGAGTGTCATACCAAGTTTCGTCCAAATAGAAAATTTGCCGTCGTTCTTGTCTATATTTAGTTATTTGTTCTAAGTATTTGTTATGCAATTCCACTATTCTTCTGCTTTCCATAACTGCTTGACGTTTGTTTATTATTTTGAATCTAAATCCTAGTTTCTTTATTCAATTCTGAAGAGTTTTGTCACAGCAGCTCACGTTATGACCGAAAGTGTTCAATTTCTTTCTTATGATTTCAATTGTAGGAATCTCATTGCTTTTGTAACAGTCGTATATTGTTTTATTTTCAATGATTTCAGTTGATGAACATCTAAAGGTTTTAGTAATCCCGCATCAAATCGCGTCTTGCGTTCATATGGTTTGTTTTAGACTATTTTACGTACAGTTGAAAAATGAATTTCGGTCAAATCTGATGTTGCTTGTAATAGTTTTTTCCCTCGAAACCAAACTTGATATGTAGATTCTTATATACATTGAAACATACTCTCTGTGTTTCAATATTCAAATGCATCCGATTCTCATTCACTAGTATCTCTTTTTCACATTGTTCACCAGCGCTATTGGAATCACTACATAGGAAAAAGTGTGCGTTGTTATCACACTCGTTATTACTATTAGTACTTGTCCAAGGACGCCACATTTTGAACAAATAACAAAAATTTCAATTATAACTTCACCAATATCGAATTTTAACACTTAAATCGCGATCAGTTCCTGAACTGAACATTGACGACACAACGGAGGTACACATCGCTACATTTTTTGGTCTCCGTAACATGACTTCAAATTTAATTATAACTCTTCAGCCAATCATAAAACTCGGTTAGTAAAAATTATCCAATACGAACCGCCAATTATTCAGTCCACGTGGACTAATTCGTTGCGGCATAATTCCTTTGTATTGTTTTTTTGGCCTTTGACTTCGCCGACACCTTTAAGATTACTATATCACTTACTTCGACTATATATGTCATGTATTCTTTCTCTGGTTTTGTATTCGAGCATGTCCCGTTGTTATGCAACGTAATTGTGGCGTGATTTTCAACATGATAAACAGTCTTTTTCCATGTTCAATATCACAGTGTTATTGTATTTACCTTGTTTGAATATATTATTTCTGTCGTTACGTTCAAGAAGTTCTCAAAACCGACTTCATCGTTTAAAGTCTGAATTTACGTTCATTTACGATATCGTCAAAAGATTTTGTTGTCACCTCATCTGGCTTAAAATGATCAACCTGAGTCTCAAAATGTTCAGGTCCTACCTTGCTCCGAAGCAAATTACGTCGTTTCACTTATTAGTAGGATCATCGGTTGTGTCCAGACCATGAAGTTGTAATTCCATTTTGAAACGTTGTATATAATACCCCCAGCCCTCTTTTTTCGGAGAAAATCTTTCAAACTGGAAATATCTCTAGTTTTCTGTATCAGTTGACATTGTCCCCTTAAACTTGAATGGCACAGTGAATTCAAATTATCTGGTTGGTTCAGCTTGTTGGCTGCTTGTGTTGAATGTTTTTGTCGTACTGTTTGATATGTTTATCTGTCTTCTACACTCTCACTGGTTTATCCTTGTCGCTATAAAATGTGGTATGGTTGAATTGATTGCAATAATCACTTTTCATACTGACAGTTGATGTGTTTATTTATTGTCATAATCAACCTAACAGAACATTGGAATTGTCAGTTGAGAACCTGAAATTGTAAACAAGTATGGTTACTATGAAACTATATTTATTCCGAGACAATATTAGAGACAGTCTCTTGGCCAAAAGTACCAGATTATAGCCGTTTCTAGGCCTCCTCCACCACTATGACGTATTAATTGTTTTTTTTTGTTTAGTAAAATCAAGGCGATGTGACCTTGAAGTGTCTGGTGCATGGATCATTTAGAATTTTTTTCATATGAGATTTTGTGTGTGTGTGTGACATAATGACGTAATTACATTTGATTGGTGTGTGTGTTTGAATGCAAGGTACAGGGTTCATCATGTACGTGTCTATGCACAAACACACTTCAAATTATCTGGTTGGTTCGCCTGTTGACTGCTTGTGTTGAATGTTTTTGCCGTACTGTTTGATATGTTCATCTGTCTTCTAAACTCCCACTGGTTCATCCTTGTCATTATAAAATGTGGTATGGTTGAGTTAATTGCAATAATCACTTTCTATAGTACTGATAGTCGATGTGTTTATTTATTGTCATAATCAACATCACAGAACATTAGAACTGTCGGATGAAAAACTAAAATTGTTACCAAGTTAGGTCACTATATGAACTCGAATAACAACTGATTTGAAAACCAATGATACTACAGTAGGTTTTTTAAACAAATTTTCAGTTTTGGTAATTGGCAAGTTATTGCGTTTAATTAATTGAGTTGTTTTTATAATTCTCAAATAAGTGTTATGTACAATGTTATCCACACAAGACAAAGTGGAAATCGTTCTTTCATGTGAGAGTGTGCCGTATCGAGATGTTGCTTGTATTTCAGATCACCGGCATCCAGGAAAAAATATTCACTTCAAAACCTTGAGAAAGATATTTAAAACATTCAAAGAAACTGGCCCCGCGGACAATCATTTCAAAAAAAATGCATTATCCAATAAGAATAAAGTATAATGGAGAAGAACTACTCAATGTTCGTTTGAGCGTTGCTGAAAACGGAAAAACAAATATTAGGAGTATTAGTGATTCTATAAGCCAAAATTCATACACACTCTTCAAGAAAGAGATTTCGATATTTGAATAGGATTTTCATTTTGGTTCCTAAGTGAAAGAGAAATTGATATCGCATTACCTACAAGCTTTTATTGTCAGACTTTCACGTCGAACGGAACAGTTTCCAAAATTTTCGCTGGTTGTCCAACAATTACCCAAATTTTGTAATAGAATGTCGTGACCAATATTCATTCAAGACAAATGTGTGGTGTGGGTTATAATATAACCAAATAATTGGACCATATTTTATAGAGAAAATTTGAACGCAGACATGTACAGACATTCCATCTTGAATCAGTTGCCTGAAGTTTTGGATGATTTGCCTCTGTGTTAGACGAATTTGTGACATCAGCTTGACGGAGCATTGATCCATCAAGATCACCGGACCTTTCTTCGATGGACTTTTTTCAATGAGGTTATCTGAAACAAAAGGTGAATAAGCACAGACCTTTGAATACCATTTGGAAGTGTTGTGCTAACATTAAACCCCTATTTATAAACAATTCCGCGGGATATGTGAGTGAAGGGACTATAATTTTTATAGAACGAGGAGGACGGCATACTGAATGATGAATTGGTATTCTTAATGGGATAATTGAGATAAATCAATGAATGTTATGATGTGAATTTGGTCATAGTTATTTCGGTTTAATGTCACACATCTAATGGTGAAAATCAGATTAATTAAATAATCTCAAAAAGCGTAATTATTTGCTCGACAACTACATCAGTTTACATCCAACAGATATTAAAAAAGGAAGACGAGTGTAATAAGAATTGAGAGAAATACGATTACTGATATATTAACGTTCATACACTGAAAATCCGAATCAGATTAACAATGAATTGAAAAAACTAGATGAACGTTGCAACAACAAAAAAGAAATTCTGTAGATGAATTTATTTCTTTTTCTGGTAACAAGACAATGCAAGTATTTTTTCGACAAGATATGACATTGATGTCCTCAAAATTATGAAATTTGAATCATGCTTCGTTCGAATCGATAAAGCGAAAGATTCGAAAAATTCGTGAAACATCGATCCGTCTGATGATTGTCGCCTACACAAACTTTACATACAGACATACCTCTTTGTTGAAAAGATAAGTTTACAACTGTGTTGCTTTTTCGTTTCCATTTATTGCTAGGATGGAAAATTTGCTCCTGCTCCTTTCGTCGTGGTTCCTTGGACGTTATGTGTAGCCTGTTCTCTGATGTTTTCTAACCTCGTGATATAGTTTGTGAATGTTTTCCGATTACACTGATAATAATCCATAACTATGATGTGCTATATATGTTGCGGTCGCCGCTTGTACTGCTTCTTGAAAAATCTGATATTGCACTGCAACTGTCTCCTCGTCATTTTCGATTCCATTTACCATAAAGAAGGACCTCAAACATCTGAAGAATATAACATAATCATGGATATCTGGGTTAAATTCCGTTTGAATTCCCAACCGTGCCTTTTTTTGAACCCTGAACTGTATGCCACTTCACTTCTGCTAGGACGAATTAACTTTACGTCAAACCATAATCTTCATCGCCAAGTGTGCACTTGAAAGGAGGAAAAACAACAATGCGGTTTGGGATTGAAAGGTTATGGCCTTTCACTTCTTCATCTTTATACATAAAATATTTTACTATTCCAAAAAGAGAAAGAAATATTCAAACGAAACCGCATTCACTTTTCATTTCCCAAGATCCACTGATGAAACTATTCGACTCTGGTGTTTCATACAGTAAAGCCAAATGCCCACAAAAATATATATTTCAAAATTCCATCATTTGAGAACTGTACAAAACTGAAATGAATACAATTTATTGAAGAAAAGAAACAATGTAAGAACTAGAGTTTAATTTTATCACTAACTAATACAGATCTCAACGAACTAACTACTCAACGGTAGTATGATCCATTATGTGAGCTCTCAGAGAACTATTTAGCATGAAAGATCTTGAACAGATTGTACGTATAAATGGTTTCTCTCCTGTATGGCTCCTTTAGTGTACTTTCAAACTATCATTTCGGGTGAAACATTTCAAACTGTGGTTGTTCTGTAGTATGCCGTCTTTCGTGAACTTTCAAATTAGTTCTTTTAGCGAAAGATTTTGAGCATATTGTGCATTGAAATGGTCTTTCTCCTCTATGGCTTCGTTCGTGAACCTTCAAATTACTATTTTGATTGAAGAATTTCAGACATAATTTACACTGAGAAGGTTTTTCTCCAGTATGAATTCGTTCGTGATGTCTCAAATGATTTTTTGTAGCAAAAGATTTTGAGCATATTGTGCACTGAAATGATTTTTCTCCTGTATGACTTCGTTCGTGAACCTTCAAATTACTATTTTGACTGAAGAATTTCAAACAAATTTTACATTGAAACGGTTTTTCTCTAGTATGACTTCGTTCGTGATCTCTCAAATGAGTTCTTCTAGCAAAATATTTTGAGCATGTTGTGCATTGAAATGGCTTTTCTCCTTTATGACTTCGTTTGTGAACCTTCAAATGACTATTTTGACTGAAGAATTCCAAACAAATGTCACACTGAAACGGTTTTTCTCCAGTATGACTTCGTTCGTGATCTCTCAAATGATTCCTTCTAGCAAAAGATTTTGAGCATATTGTGCATTGAAACAGCTTTCCTCCTTTATGACTTTGTTCATGAACCTTCAAATTACTATTTTGACTGAAGAATTTCAAACAAATTTTACACTGAAACGGTTTTTCTCCAGTATGACTTCGTTCGTGATCTCTCAAATGATTTCTTCTAGTAAAAGATTTTGAGCATATTGTGCATTGAAATGGCTTTCCTTCTGTATGACTCCGTTCGTGAACCTTCAAATTACTATTTTGAGTGAAAGATTTTAAACATATTCTGCATTGAAACGAACTTTTTTCAGTATGTGTTCGTTCCTGAACTTGACCATGCAGCAGCTTGACATCTTGCGTCATATCGTCATCGTGAATATTGTCGGTGACGTCATCCTCGTACACAACTTCCTTTTTGATATCTTTGAATAAAATGTCGATTTCATCACCACGTTCAATATTTATTTGTTCACCAACGTTGTCCTTATCATCTTGGTGATCCATAGAGTACGGATCAGTTACTTGCAGCAACTTGACACCATGACTCATGTCGTCACCTCGAATATCGTTGGTCACGTCATCCTCATACAAAACTTCCTTTTTGATATCTTCGTAGAAAATGTCGATTTCATCACCACGTTCTAGTTTTATCTGTTCACCAAGGTAGTCTTTATCATCGTGGTGATCCATAGAGTACGGATCAGTTACTTGTACCAACTCAACATCTTCAGCCATATCATTTCGAATATCGTCGGTCAGGTTACCCTCATCCACGATCTCCGTTTTGATATCTCTGTTGTTAAGGTCGAATTCATCATCACGTTCAATTTTCATCCTGTCATCATTGTTGTCCATACCATCTTGGTAATCCATAGAGTACGGATCACTTTTAGAACCTTCATCAGACTTATTGAAAGTTTCAACTTCTTGTTCAACTTTTACTAAATTCGATTCGGGAATGACTTCAATAACATATTCATATTTTTTCTCAATTGTCATTTCGTATTTACTGATATCCATTGTCAAAGTACATGAAAACGAAAACTCATCTGCGTATACTAAATATATACACCACTACAACGATTACAATTTTCAATCAGAACTGACCTCACTCTGAAACGACTTCCTATTTATATGAAATCTAAATGAATGTGATTGGTCATTATGGCATACCTACTTTTGAAAATTGGTTTATCTATTACCTATACAATGAATGGATTCTGAGAAATTTTGAGCATTTCTAAATGAATTTATGGTGACTTAATATCAAACAAACTCATTGTTTTCGATGGTCCTATAATTATTGTCAATGAACCAGGTAGTAAGTTAATTCCACTTTATTGAATATATTGCCTTAGAAAGTGCTCACAGATAGATTCCAGGTATCGGCATTTATGGAGTGATAACTTCTTATGGGAGGGTAAACCTCTCAGTAACATAACGCATAACGGCAACAGTATGTCTGGCTTTCCTTTCTCCTCACTCTAACACACATCATTAATAGCCGTATCTCGGACAAACGATTCTCTCGCCTTCCCTCGACTCAGTATTCAGTATGCCGTTGACATATACTGTTTACAGTGAGCATATAACGTAAAACTATCACCGCTCTTGAAAGGGATTATGAAAAGTTATATCTTGTGGGTTATTTGCCCTGCACATGCTTTAGGAATTTTGACGAGTGCAGGGGTGTTTATTTCGATATATCGATCAGCTCTGCACGTGTAAAAAATTATTTCTTTTCATACGGGGATGATCAGCACTTCCTCTTGGGTTATTTGTCTGGCTATGGATTCGCTTACGTTGATTGGAATGTGTTGGAAATTTGTTGTGGTATTGCCTTCAATCAGCTGGGTTGCACACTGGTCCTGTGGGTAGTAGTCTTCGATTCAGAAATATGTTTCCCCCACAGGTTCGATTCGAGTTGATTTTTCGAGGCTGCTCGTGCCAACTGGGGATATTTGAGGATGAAAATATGGCGGTTTTGGATGATGAGGAACAAGTGATAGCACATAAAAACTTCGCTTCTGATAATAGGAACATGAATTGAGAAAATCAATTTTGTGTTCGAAAATGTAACTTGTGTGACAAATAATTGATAGTATGACAAAATAATTTGGAATTATGGAATTTCGCTCTCATCGTAAATTTGACTCAAGTATTTAATCATTTCTTCAAGATCTGAACTGAATAAAATTGAATCAAGCAAGGAGTTCAATTTTGCGAATGTAGCAGTGATGGCTCGTGCATTGGAGAACAGGGGAGGCTAAAGTCATAAAGACTATATACACACAGAAAAGCCCGCCGGAGGCGGACCGCACCTATTTAAAGCAAACTAAGTAATATTTGCATAAATGCAAACAAAAATTGTGTATTGCCGAAAATTATACGAATAAAACTGACCATTAAAAAAAACAAAAACAAGGAAAAAGTTGTCTTTGAGTTATTTAATATAAATTAATTTTAATTTTCAAACATCACGATTGATTCATTTTTCAGTTGAATAACATCGAAAAATGGATACTGAGCTATATAGTTTTTGGGGAAAATCTTTGGTATAGGACGAACATTTTTCAAACAACAACAAATCAAAGTAGTTTAATTTAAGTAAATTTTCAAATCTAACTTTGATTTAGAGGTGTCCAATATTTCATTATAAATCTGTTTATAATTTTGTCTCAAATCGTGTAAGTCTAAATTGGTTTTTCTTTTGTCGGCGCTGGCGGTTCGAGAGCTAAATCAATTGATTCGAGAATATTATTAAAAATGTATCGTTATTTCTAAAATTCATCAAAATTTCTGTTAAATTGTTTAACCGTTGTTTTGAGTAATTAATATCTGTTGATTTATTTTGAAGAATAGAAAAAACAACATCGGTATGTTCAAATATTGATTTAAATATTTCTAACAAAAAACAAAACTTGTGATCATTTAATATATATTTGAAACCTGTCGCCTCCCTAACACTTTGGTCGCCGGTTTTGAAATCGTCACTGTTTAAGATAAAATGAAAGACATCAATCAATTTGTCTTTGTTTGAATGCACTGAAATTACTGCTCTAGATGAAGAATTCCAACGCGTGGAAGCAAAAGTTGGCATTCGGCTACCACATATTTCATTTAAAACATGGCTTCTTTTGGTGGATAAGGAGCTATGGACTTTATTTTAGTTTGTAAACCATTTTAATGGCCGGCCATGAACGCAGCCCCATCATAGGTTTGCTCAATTACCTTTTGTCTAAAATTATAGGTATCACGTACGAATTAAAAAAATAAACAAATGAAAACCCATAAAACGTTCTACCACATTACCATCTTTGGCCTTACCAAAAAACGATTGAAAGTTCTGATGTACAGGTAATATCGGTAGTTTCATCAATTTCCCATGCAAAAAAATACTTTCAATCTCCTTGCCTATATTTTCCTTAATAATATATGCCACACTGTTTATAAGTTTTGGATAGTTTTTGAGGTGCCCGGCAATTTAAAGTTCCTTGTAATTGCCGCGATTAATCGAATCTTCGGTTTCATCGTGTCCGTGAAAAGTTAATTCTTTGGAACCCAAATAAATTGTAATATCGATAAGTCTTTTTAAATTCGACCGATTTTCCCTAACCTGATTATTAAAAGAAATTAATGCCTCTTTTTGAGCTGTATCTAAAGCTGTTGCTATATGTTGTTTACTTAACAATTTTAATTTACAGAACGAAAATATATGCTCCTTAGATTTTAAATGTCTTTCTGTAGAACGAGGTAAATTTTTCAAATCGGAGTATCCTATTCGGTTTATACGAAAATAAAACACAGGGTCAACAAAAAAGTTTTTCTCGTTTAATGGTGTCGGTTAACCAATCGCATTTATCGTACTAACTAATATTAAATCCTCGATTTTGTCGATTATCTGACGCTTCAATAGAAATCAAATTTGGTTGAGGCCTTCCCAGAGTTTCAATAATGTAAAATTTATTATCATAAGACGAAGACTTGAAATTATTTGTCCGCAACCAATCGACTATATCATCAGATTTTTTTAATTCCGTTCGACTTATTCATAATAAATGGAAAAAAAAAACTTACCGAAAAGTGAAAACCTGAAAACACCTCGAAATTAAAAGAAAACACTCTAAAAAAGCACTGTTATGATACAATATTGCCCGATTTATACACAAATAACAAATGTTATCAAGAAACACTAAAACATTCGGACGGGATGCCGTCACGGCATCCCGACCGAATAATTTAATAAAAAACAAACGTAGTCGTACACTAACGGAGACCAACTGGAGGCTAACCTCCTCTAACGCTATAATTTCTGCAACTGGAATTACAAATCGGGACGTATGTCTCTGGATGGATCGGTTTCGCAAAGCTTGTGTTTTTTAAAGCGGTTGGAGGCTTGGCTCCCTTGCAACGTATGACATTTATTATTTCGGGTTGATGGTTTATTCGTTCATGGGCTATGCGTTTGAGGTTTGTTGATGCAGGATACAGTGTGGTACGTACTACGTAGTGAGTGATAGTGTTTTTCGGCCATATTATGTATTTATATTAGAAATTAATGGTGAAGTAATGGTACCCAAGCATTAAAAATATAATCATAATTATTTGTCAATATCTTTTAATTTATTGCGATGAATAGCCTTAAATTTTATGGGAACGCTAAGCCTCCCTTGTCTCCTGTGACGAGCCGCCGCTGGAATGTAGTTGCGTCTTCTTGGTTGTCAATGAATGTTATGATATTTTGGCAGTCCAAAATGATTTGAGAAAGCACACCTTGAAAAGCGATATAATTTTTGAGATCGACAATGGTTTTGACCGTAACGCTTTCCGTCATCAGCGTCAAGTGTTCCGAAAGCCATTGATCATACCTTGTTTAACACGAATATGGGGTTGAAGGTTGTCCAATTTTGTCTGAGCTGTTTCAATAAGATATTCAGCTCTCTGAAGCATATTTTCGGATAGACCATGATGGGAAATTGGGTTGGTAACATATAATAATAATAATAATGATAATAGCTTTATTGTGCATAAATTACACACAAAAGGTAGGGGTTAGCCTATGGCTATCTTCCACCCCTCCTGCTGAGTAATACAAATAACATTTATGAGCAATAAGGTAATTATCTAATATAATTCAATTTTCTTCAGCGGCAAAATTAAAAGAAAGAATATGATAAATACATTTCAGTTTGCAGAAAAGTAAAGGAAAACACTACACTACAATACATTACTCCATGCTGGTCAACAAAGTTAATTTCAAATGATGTTTCACTTCATATAAAGATGAATTCAGGAGAGGAATTATCCTGTTCAAAAATAACGGTGCCAGATAGGAAATGCATCCTTCGTATTTAGATGTAACATGGTTTGGAATGTTGAAATTATTGAACCTGGTATTGATGCTACGGATATTAGAACGGCGTACTATAAGCTCTAATAAATACAGGGGTATTTTGTTTTTGATGAGTTTAAAAAGAAATATTGTGATCAGATATTCAATTCTACATTTTATGTTTAATTATCTCAATCCTATCAGAAAAGGAGTAATGTGCTCTGTATAAGGTACACAGCAAACAAAACGCATACAAGAATTTTGAATGCGTTACAACTTTTGTCGATTATATTCTGGTAGAAAATTATAATACACTGGAGCGCAGTATTCTATATGTGGATAGATGAGGGATATGACTAGTTTGAGTTTCATTTCGGTTGATAGTTGATATTTAAATTTTTGAAGTGATTTCAGTTTGAAGAACGTTATTTTAAATATATTTTGTACATGGTCATTGAAGTTCAAATTTTGATCGATAATCAATCCGAAATTTTTCGTTGAGTCAACCCATTCAATGTCCGTTTGATTCATTCTGAGACTATGTTGTTTGATCTGATAAGTCTGTCTCTGAGGGCCTAAGCAGATTGCAACAGTTTTGTGTGGGTTGATAAGCAAGCAATGTTTTTTAGAATAAACTTGAGTGCTTTGGAGATCTTCGTTAATAATGTTCACATGGTTTTCTTTATCA